TTGCATGTTCACTATGATAACTGTATCCTTGGACAAATCATAGTGATTGTTCTAAATATTCCTAGTTAGTCATCTATAAGGGATCATAAATGAAACAAGACTAGTATGCCTTTGATTAATTATAGAGATATAAATCAAAGTCATAAGCACTTGAAGGAGTACAAGGTGCTGGACCAACCCGCTATGAGAAACTTGTATGATACAAGTCATAAGCTTATCTTATATGTAACTATATTACTAAGCCCTTTGACCTGAGATCATCATAGATTCCTACATGATGACCACTAAACTTTGACTTAATCAAAAGTCACCTTTGAGTGGGTGATTATAAAAGTTATAATTGAGTTTAGTGATATTCATGCAGAGAAATATAAGTGGTCAAGATAGAATTTGTCCCTCACATTAAGTGAGAGATATTACTAGGCCCCTCGATGAGTAAGACTGAGAAAATATATGGCCATACTATAATAGAAAGGATTTTTCCATTGCTATAGTCAGTCCACTTAGAGATCGAGAAAGTAACGGTTAAGTAAAGAAGAATGACAATTTCATGTCTCACACTTGACCGAAATATCATGTGACGAAAGGGATGTGATATAGTTGCATGATAGGTTATATCGAATCATTGATTCCCATGTGAATTGGGTAGTTGCAATGTCTTGCTAGAAGCCACTTGTGACTTATGAGCTAATAGTGTAATTAGCCTATTGCTAACTTCATATGGGCTTACAGGGTCACACACAAGAACAGCCTAACTCGAGCTCTAATGTCTAAGTTCATTGAATTTGAAATATGTCTTGAATGTAATACAAGGTGAATGAATTTTATATGTATATATATATTTGAATATTTATTTGATAAATATATATATATATATATATGTTTATATGAAATATAAAATTTAAAATATAACTATATATATATATATTTGAAATATATATATATATATATTCATGTGTGTGTGTGTGTGTATCTGATATATATATATATATGTATATGATATATAAAATTAAATATATATTTTTGAAATATATATGTATAAATATATTCATGTATATATAATATAATATAATATTATATATTATATTATATTATATTATATTATGTTGTGTTAGTTTTAAATTTAATTTTATATGATAGATTAAATTTAATAACTAATATGATATGAGAGAATATCATGTCAGTTTTATAATTTAAATTTATAAGATAAATTCAAATTAAAAATGATATCATGGATTAAATTTATGAGATAAATTTAATTAAATTTCTGTGGGCTTTTTAAATAGAAGACGAAAACCTTGATCCATATAATATATATAGATAGGGATGTGTTTTATGAAGAGAGCGTTGGAAAAATTTTGAATGTAAAAACACTTTGAGAGCCACAAAACACTCTATAAAAAGAAAAATTAGCGCTTAAAGAAAAACAGATGCTGGGAGCGCTAGCACGCTGTTCGAGTTAGAGAGCTGTTCGTGTGGATATTGATAGAGGGAGCAGATTTACATTGTTAGCTTCTGAGATCTAAACTCTTGAAGAGAACACGCGTCAAGTTTGAAGATTTAAAAGATAACTTTTCTATCCACATTGACTTAAACAAGTTCATTTAGTCCATATCATGATAGAAATTTTAAAATTTTAATCTTCTACTGCATCTCCTTATCTGATAAAAGGGAAGGGGCCCAATGCTACTATATGACTAAGGTTGTCATTACTATAGCAAAATAATACTAAGCTACACTAATGTAGCATTAGTATGAACTTAGGTTGATCTTTATGAGGAGGCTTAGTTGAAAATTTAGAGTTGAAGTGTGTTATAAGTTAAAAGGTGTATGGGATAGATTTAAACTCAAAACTAATAAAGTTAATTAACATAATTTTAAAGTGAATAAAATGGGTGTTTACAAACCTATTAAAAGTAAGAACTCTAATGTGAATTTGATCACCTATCTTTATTTGATTATAATCTAACTAGTTTGATTTCTTCTCTCTTCTCTTTGATTTTAGCAGTGTTGTTGAAATCAGACCGGACCGAACAGTGTGACCATCACTCGCTGAACAAAATAGTTTGGTTCAACCAGTTGAACTAATCTGACATTTGAATTGAGTTGACCTGGATTGATCCAACTGGTTTTGAGAGAACTGGCTTTGACCCAAAAATTGGAGTCGGGTCAACCCGTTTTAAAGCAAAAAAAAAAAAAGAAATTTAAGTTAAGTTGCTTAGATTCGCGATTTCTCTTCTCTAATCACTAATTCTCTCTTTTCTTCTCTTCTCTAATATCTAATCTCTCCTCCATAACTAAAGCTCAATCTCTAACTTCTCCTCCAATCCCTACCTCTAACTCTAGTGATCCAACTTTTGGCATTGAGATCGGAAGTTTATGAGTCGTGACATGACAGCATGCCTCCAAGTCCAACGTTTTCTTTCAAGATCATGAGCTTGTGCTGACATGCCTCTGCCTATAGCTCCAACGATCTAGCCATCTAGCCTTTAGAGTGGAGATCCCAAGTACCATCAATAAATTAATATTTTATTTATATATTTGCACATATAAATATTACTTTTTATTTAATTTTTATGTCACCAATTCAACCGCCGATCTAATTAATTAAACCATGAAAATCATGACCCATTGCTCTTTTTGATTTGATATTCAATCTAATTTTTAAAACATTAAATTTTAATGATTTAGTTATATTAATCATAATCAAGACTTGCCAATCCAAATCTTCAAATAATGGTCTTGAGCCTTTGACATAGTCACACGTCAGTTTCTACTTTTTACCTTCCACGTACGTCTGCTTAATGGAAAAGGGGAGACCTCGACCTCGTGATGCGTGTGTACCATAAAAGCATTCGAATCCAACACCGAAGGTCCCACCCGGAAAAGAAATCTGATGAAAATTTATTTGGAGCGGGTTTAATTCGGACGGGTAGGTATATTTGGAGCGGATTTAATTCAGGCCTAAGTTACTTGGTAGGTCTAAATAAGTCTAAATAGTCAAACTCAATCCAAACCTTTTTAAATTTTGAATTAGCTTCAATACTCAAATTATCAATTTTTTATTTTTAAAATTAAAATTAATTTAATTTTTTACTTTAAGATTATTTTTTTATAAAAATATAAAATATATTTTTGGAATAGTTAAATGATGTAGAACAATAAATTTTTTTAAAAAAATATGTGAATTTCAAAATTAAAAAATCAATATTAAAATACATTTTAAATATTATTTTGAGATATTTTATAGATTAAAAATAACAAAATATGACAATATAAATATTTTTATTTTTTCAAAAATATCTATAATAATGTTCTTAAATATATAGTATCTTAGTATAAAATAATCTAAAACTTAAAGAAGTAATTAATACTTAATACAGTTTTAAGAAAATAAATTTTTATTAGAGTATTCGGGCTTGGCCTGAATTTTGTTAGGTCTATTCGGGCCTAATTAGGCCCCGACCATAAAAAATACACAAATTTTTCAAGCCCAACATCAAATTATCAGCTCTACTAAAAATTCTTTTTTTCAACACTCCCAAAGAATTTACCCAATCTCGGTAATTACAATAATGTGTATCACTGAAAGCTAAATCAATTCCCATTGCTGTTTGAAAAAAAACATGAATGACTTTTGCAAAACAAACCACACAATTTCTTAATGTTGGGTTTAGATGATAGGAATTTGGATTTAGATTTAGGTCAAATCTTTGATTTGGAAATATTATGAATTTGAATTTGATTCAAATCTAAATCTATTTTAAATTATAATTTTTTATAATTTTAAATTCATTCTACACTCTAATCATTTGAAATTCTAATATCTTATTATCTTCACATTTTCACTACTAATATCTCTATAATTCTTGTATCTTTTCTTATATTTTGTTGATTAAAAAATAAAAATAAACTTGTTATTTTTAATTTTTACTTTTCATTTTGAATCTCAACTCACCTCTCCTTTTCATTTAAAATGTTTTAAACTACCTAAGCAAAAATTTTTTAATACATATATTCTTAAGTTTAAGATTTGAAATGCAAGATTTCAAATCAAAATCAAAATCTATTAATCCAAACACTACCTAAATGATGGTAACCATAAAACAAGGCACTAGAAATAGGGAGGGGGCCCAATGCTACTCTACCATGCGTAATCTCTCCATTCTTTTATCATTCTTTTTTCTCCACTTTCTTTACCATATTCATCTATTAAATCAATGGTTTAAATAGATCCACATAATGAAATGATGTTAATAATTATGATTATGGAAGTGGAGGAAAATGATATATGATAAGGAAATGAGGCTTCGGATCCTGGGAATGCAAAATCTCTCCATTTCTTTATTCTACTACCCTGTAGAGTAGTTGAGATTATTGTAGAAAGGGGGGGGGAGAGAGAAGAAGAATGTTAAAACAAAAAAGTAAAATACAATGACCTCCCCTCTAATTTAGCAAAATAGGAGGGAGTGAGTGTATTTTACTCTAAAATTAATGTTGAGAGATGATGTGTTCATAAATAAAATTAGAATAAGGAGTTGCAAATATGAGAAAAATAAGTTGCAAATAATCTCAAAATTCAATGTTAAAATATCGTGTTTCCAAATAAAATTGGGAAACCAAGATGTAAATCAAGCTAAATGAAGTTGTAAATCTGAAAGGATAAGTCGTAAATTTCTATATTCAAATTTTTTTATTATATTTATTAAGGATATTTGAGTCTTTTTCAATGTATTATAGGATAAGGTAATTAGCATATGAGGGACTTACTTTACATTTTAGACTTTTTTAAGATTTTAGTAAGATAAAATGATTCTTTGGGACTTAATTGTCATTCTCTAGTGTCATTCAAAGCTAAAAGTATTTTTCCCAAGAGATATAAAATACAAAAATAAAGCAAATATAAAAAATAATAAATATTATATTATATTATATATATATATATATATAAACTCCCCCACTACGAGCTTGAAGGGTTGCCTATTTTGCCTTTCTTTCCCCTGTTCTATAATTTTGTAGTAGACAAAGAATTCATCTTATCAAGTTGAAACTCAAAGCAGATCATATATCTTTCAACATTATTCGATCCATTAGGTTCATATGCTCTTCCTTGCTCGTCTTCTAGATTTATTCAATGAAATGAATTACTTTGTTATTTCTGTTTATTTTTACTTAGGTGCAAAAAGTTATTTGCTATCTGTGAACTTTGAAATATTGAAGGACGAGAAAGAATATATTCAAAGGTCGTTTACATTTTGAGGTTGCGACTTCTTTGAATCTGTGCAAGAGGTTTTGCTCTATCTAAAAGATTGGGTTTAAAATTAGTTAACTTTCTTCCCTCTTCAGTATCCCGTCCAATAGCTCAACTATGTATTTCTATATTACACGATCCGGATGCTGATGGTTGTATTTATACTTTGGATAGGTCAGCTTCCGAATTCTTGCAATGGCACTTGATGTTCAAGGAGTTGGGAATTCTTCAAGCTGTTCTCGTTCAACTTGGAGACAGAAGAAATATGATGTGTTTGTGAGCTTTCGAGGAGAAGATACTCGTAGAAGTTTTACTGACCACTTGTATGCTGCTTTGGGTCGCAAGGGAATCACAACTTTTAGAGATAATGAAGACCTCGAAAGGGGGCAAATTATTAAGCCAAGTTTGTTCCAAGCAATTGAAGAATCTTCCTCGGCAATTGTTGTACTCTCTAAAAACTATGCCACTTCAAAGTGGTGCTTAGATGAGCTCGTGAAGATTCTTGATTCTAAGAAATATTTGGGCCTCCATGTATTTCCAATCTTTTATGGTGTAGATCCGTCCAATGTTCGGCATCAAAGGGAAAGTTTTGCAAAAGCTTTTGAAAAGCATGAAGAAACATTCGCACATGACAGAATGAAAGTTCAAAGATGGAGGGGTGCTTTAAAAGATGTCGCTGACTTAGCTGGCTGGAACTCGGAAAATCGGTAACTTTTATGACTTCAAATAATTATCCTGATATTAGGCTTCTTGAAACTTATATTTTTGGCGGGAAATTTTAAACTGTGTAATCAGACTGATTAATTGTTACTGCCTCTATTTATAAGCAAATTTTAACTTAGTTTTATGCAGCTTATGTTTATTTCTTGTTTTTTTAATGGTTAATGTTAACGGACATTAATCAAATTTAGTGGAATGTGGATTGTTGCACTCATTACAACAAATTAATGGGTATTCTTGCACAATTGTTCTCTTAAAGATACTTGATGCTCTTGGAGAAAAGTTGCTAAGCATTTTTTCCGTTTAACCTATTTGTATGCATGCATGAATATAATTATAAACATTTATATAGACTTACACATCTCAATGATGACAATTAAGATATATTTATAGTAAATTAATATATGTATACATAGAAATACCTTTTTAAGATATATTTATAGTAAATTTCAAGAATATCACTAAAACTAAAGGATAAAATTGGAACATTTTTTTCATATTTTTGTAAGGCACAGGAACTTTAACACCCATCATAAAAAGGCAAAAATTAACTAAAAATTGACTGAAAATCAATAAAAATGAGACTCATCATCCAACACAACTATAAACAAGACCTCAACAATGAGCCCAAACACTTTTTTTTTTCAAACTAAACAGAAGGCCCATCATGAGGGAGGGGGTTTCCACTACGATGAATGGCCCATAAAAATATCAAAGCCCAAAATTGATAGTTGCTAAATACCAGATAGAACTCCACACAAGATGCTAAACACTTGGCCAGTTACAATAAATATAAACAACATAAGGGGTGACCATATATCTAGGCCAAACCAGTCTTGACTTCGTGTGTAGAAAGTAAGCTATAGCTTTCACTTGAAAAATGATAGAATGAGGGGTAAGATATGAGATCTTAGTAATTGAAGAAAAATTCTAGTCTAAATAGGCATATACAATATAGGGTTAAGGCGTAATTTTGCTTTTAAATTATTTTTGGAGGAGCAATGTTGCCCCATAAACTAATCAAATTAGAGTAATGTTGTCCTCACTGTTTAAATGTCAGTTACTGTAGTTAGTGAGACCTACTTTTCATGAGTTAAGGTATAATTTTGCCCTTATATTATTCTTAGAGGAGCAATGATTCCCTCATCATTTAAAAATCATAAAAATAAAATTATAATAATATTAAATATATATAAATATAAAATTATAATAATATTAAATAAAAATAATATTAAATGTATATATGAAATAAATATAAGAAAAGAATAAATTATAATTTTATAACTTGTCAAATATAAGTAAATTTTGGTTAAATTAGATATGTGTAGACTTAAAAGTATCTACATTTGCACCTATAGCTATCGACATCTTTATAAAAAAATGGTCTCAAATTATATTTTATATGTGTGAATTGTTCAAAAATAAAGTTGGCTTTTAGTAGGATCTAATTTTTAAATTTTTCTATTTTTAAAATTTTTTAAAGCTTTTCTTAATATTATGTTTAAAACTGTCTAGTTTTCTAAAAATTGCTTTGATTCTTAATTCAACTTTGGTTTCTGGTTTAATAATGGCTTAGCTCTTGTCCAATCCAGCTCAATTATGAAAACAATTTTTTAGTCTAAATCGAGTTGTTAACAACAGCTTTGGTCGATTGTTATAGGTGCAAATGCAGATACTTTTGAGTTTACTCATATCTAATTTAATCAAGATTCACTTATATTTGACAAGTTATAAAATTATAATTTATAATATTATTAATTTATGACATTTTATTAACATACTATAAATTTTTTTCTTATATTTATTTTATATATACATTTAATTTTATTTTTATTTAATATTATTATAATTTTATATTTATAAATACATTTAATATTATTATAATTCTATTTTTTTAATTTTATGATTTTTAAATGGTAAGGGTAAAATTGCACCTTAACTCATGATAAGTGGCTCTTACTAGCTACAGTAATGGACGTTTATACAGCGGGGGCAATATTGCTTTAATTTGATTAGTTTAGGGATAACATTGCTAAAATGAATAGTTTAGGGGCAACATTGCTCTTTTAAAAATAGTTTAATGGTAAACTGCACCTTAACCCTACAATATATTATGATAAAAAACAAATGCACGCTCCAAAAGTATTATATATGGAAATTAATTTAAAAGTAGGATTTTCAACTTTCACAAAGTACACAACAATTAAAAGGAGTTTCAAGAATTTTGCCATTTAACAACCATCATATCAATATGCATATATATAAATTCATTCTTACCCCAACACTCCCCTTTCATTACCCAGGCTATAATTTAAAGAGTGCCCCCATAACCCTCTACTTTATGTAGCCCTTGGCTAGAAGTCATTGCACTTTATAAGGGGATCATGGAGTTGTAACCACTTTAGATGGTTTAGCCACTATCTTCTACTGAATACTTTTGCCTATTTTCTCTTTCCACTTCTGGATGAAGATGGATAAGGAATACTAGGTCTTATATGTTGTATCCTTAGCTATTCTTGACCATAGCAATAGGGGTTTTAGGGAATGGAAATTATCACATGGTAATAAAGAATCACTTATGTCTGTCAAAAAGCAATGGTCACATCCTAATCCCAAAATAGTAATCCAAATTATGACATAATCACATCTACTCAAAATCAATCAATTCCTAAAAGGATAAAATCCATAAATAACCATGCAACAAAGGATGTGACATTTGCCAAACATGCTTCCCCATTAGGTAGGGTATAGAAACCCTTTACAAATATAGACATACTTGTGAATATACACATATGTGGTCAAAACAAATTTGTAAACCACATTTCAAATCCAAACAACTTAATTCAATAAATGACGTGGTTGCATTGAAATGAATTTCCCCTCTTCTTCCCTAGCCCCACTTCGATATCACATTATGTTTGTAGTGGAGCAATAACCATATATTGCAATTTAGGCCTTTAAAATAATTATGATATTAGTCCCTTTACTTCCTATTATAATGCGTGTTAACTATATATTTTATTAGAACCAAGGAATGACGGTTAATTCACTTAATATATCTTAAAATGAAAAGTGTCTCTAACTTTACCCCCATTAAAAATAGGAAGAGAGAGTTATACACAGTATACAATTAGCTATAAAATTAAATTTACAATAGGCGTTAATTTAGAAAATGGTAATAAGTAACCCTCCATGTTATGTGTGTTATATTAAATATTAATGAATCTTTCTAGAAGGCGCCCTATAATAGGGACCAGAAGGAGTATATCATATATGAGATAGGAATAGATACATTAATATTTCCATTGAAAATGAAGCAAGTTAAAGGGGAAAAAAATGCCCAATAACTTTTTTTCCAAGAGAATCTAGTATCCTTAAATGAACAAAGATGCAAGAATAACCATGAACTTGTTTTAATGAGTGAAACAATGCTCATTATGTTAAATTTAACTGAAATTCATTAACTTTGACTATTAAAAAAGGAAGCAAATATAATGTGCAAAAATATCCATTAACTTTATCTCTAGGAGCTTTTGATATCCTAAAATCAACAATGGTATGTAGCCATTAATTTTATAAAATAAGCCAACCTTCCACAGTTCATTAAGTTCTATTTTTAGAACTTCATGATCAACTTCAAGTTATTTTAATAGATTGAAAATGTTAGGTATGATAATTTGAATCAAGCTTGAAAGGCTAGTTTGAATAAGCCCGAAAAATCTTAGAACCAATCTTGAAAGCTTAAAAAATTTTCTTTACTTCGGGCTTATTTGGGTGGCCTAAATAAGCTCAAAAAAATTCAAGCCAAGCTCAAACCCAAATGGGCTTAACCTAAGTACCCGAATTCCTTTTATAAAATTAGATAAAAGTTAAAAATCTTAATTTTTTAAGACAAAAATTGAAATTGACAAAGAAAAAATAAAATAGCATTTTACAATTTGGGTGTTTGAGCTAGCTTGCATATGCCTAAAAGCATGAGTTGTTAAGGTAGGGCTCTAAAATATGGCTTCTTTTATAAAATTAATGGATGCTCTATTGTTGACTTAAGGATATTGGAAGCTCTTGGAGAAAAAGTTTCTGAGTGTTTTTGCACCTTTCGTTTGTTTCCTTATTTTTAATGGTTAACTTTAATGGACATTAATCAAATTTAATGGAATGAGGATTGTTGCACTCATTATAACAAGTTCATGGGCATTCTTGCATCTTTGTTCCCTTAAGGATATTGGGTGCTTTTGAAGAAAAAGTTGCTAGGTATTTTTGTCCTTTAACCTAACAAAATATTTATATGCGGACATAAATATAAATATAAACATTTGAATAGACCTAGACATCTTAATGATGACAATTAATATATGTTTATATTATATGTATAGACAAAAATACATTTTGTAAGTAGTTATATATAAATTTCAAGATATAACTAAACTAAGAGATAAAATTGGAACATTTTTTCACATTTTTTGTAAGACACATAGACTATAAACCCCTCATAAAAAGACAAAAATTAACTAAAAACTAATCAAAATGAGACTTGTCATCTAACATGACTATAAACAAGACCTTGAAAATGAGCCCAAATACTAGGATCTTGCTTCAGTGGACACTTTTTCAAAACACCCTTTGTTGGAGAGGGGGCTTCCATTATAGTGAACGGCCCATAAAAATATCAAAGCCCAAAATGGACACTTTCTAAATACTTGGCTAGTTATAATAAATACACATGCCAAAAGGGGTGATCATATACCTAGGCCAAACTAAAAAGTGAGCTATAACTGTTACTTGAAAAATGTTAGAATGAAGGGTGAGATACAAATCTCAGTAACTGAAAAAAATTCTAGTCTAAATAGGTATACCATAATAAAATATATTTTGATAAATAAGAGTGCATACTCTAAAAGTATTGTATATGAAAAATGAGTTTAAAAGTAGGATTTCCAACTTTCATAAAGTACACAACAATTAAAAGGAGTTTCTAGAATTTTTCCATTTAA